AGAATAAGCGCTTGCTTGGCAAGTGCAAGGGCCTGAGTTCAAGCCCGGTTTCACCAAAAAAAAAAAAAAATCTGTATCTTGGGGCTGGGGAGATGACTCAGTGGAATAAGTGCTTCTCTGGCAAGCGCAAGGGCCTGAGTTCAATCCCTGGTTCCACCAAAAAAAAAAAAAAAAAGAGTAATTTCTTTAGTTTTCAGGCTGTCAGATCTAAGGCCTGTGTCTGTTTTGTTTTTTGTTTTGGTGGAAATGGGGATTGAACTCAGGCCCTTGCACTTGCCAGGGAAGCATTTATTCTACTGAGCTACCTCCCCGGCCCCGCCTGTGTGTTTTGTCCATAGCCACATTTAGGCAACTATAGCCACTTGATAAACACATGGTGTATGAATTAACACAGAATCTTCTTTCAGACGGCATTCAATAACTGAAGGGTTTAAATCAATCCAGACTTTAGGGAGACACGAGTAGCTGGTCACACACTCTTGGAAAGGTCTGCTCAATCTGGGATTCTATTACAATTTGAGAAAATCAGCTTAAATGAAGGTAACACAATAAAGTTTTAACACTGAGTTTTATCACCTAGCACACATTTTAATAGACGATAACAAACTTATTCAAAAGCTGCCCATAGTCAAGGCATTTGAAATTACCATTAGTTAACTGTGTTATAGTTGGTTGCAACTTTGCACCATTTTCATTATTCCCAAAATAGGTTTGGAGATATGACATAGCAATAACGTAGGTAATAGTTGTATAAAATTTTTAATCAAAAGCAGCACAAAACTCATTTTGTGAACCAGAATATGGTCAAGGTGCAATAGCCAATCAGTCTTTCAGTTCTATTTTACTTTCTGGCCTCATAAAGAGCCCTTCCAGTGCTCCACAATTCCTATATTGTAAATTGCCAGACACTGCCAGATCAACTTGGCATTAACAATGTTACTAATGGAAAATGATCAATCATCTGTCATTATGGTCTATGTGCCAAATATGACCCACTTATGTTTTTCTATGGTCCACAAGCCTAGAATATTGGGGTAAAAGGAGTTGTTTCATTATGTGTGAGGCAGTCTCACTATGTAGTTCAGGCTGGTCTTTTTCTTTTTTTTTTTTTTTTGTAGAACCAGGGATTGAACTCAGGGCCTTGCGCGCTTGCCAGGGAAGCACTTATTCCACTGAGCCATCTCCCCGGCCCCCATAGGCTGATTTTAAACTCACTATATAGTACAGGCTGCCCTCAAACCATGGCAATCCTTCTGCCTCAGCCTCCCCAGTGCTGGAATTAGTGGCATACACATCACGCTGAACTGTTTTTTATTTTTAAATGGCTGGAAAAATTTAAAAAGTCTTGTAGAAACTATATGAAATTCAAATTCTGATACCCATTTATAAAGTTTTATTGAAACACAGCCATGCTGTTTCCATATTAGTTATATCTGCTTTTGCACTAAAATGTTGAGCAGTTGCAAAGGAAACCATATGGCTCACAAAGCTGAGGGTGAGCCATCTTCTTCCCTTTTCTTCTTTCCTTACAGAAGTTTGCTAATACTTAGACCAGACCCAAGTAGTCCTTAAAGGTATTGTACTTTCCATAAAACTATTTTGTTCCTGGATATTAACATTGGGGGAACAGTGACACAGCTTCCAGAGTATTGCAAAGAGTTGATAAAGGCAAACGTTAGAAAACACAAGTACATAGTAAAAAACGAAAACAAAACACGTGACCAAATGGGAAATTCAAGGATCAGCAGGCTGAAGTGGCTGAAAGCAGCTCTCAAATATAATCCAAAACTGGGCATAATGGCACATGCCTATAATCCCAACAATCTTGAGGCTGAGGCAGGAGGATCACTGTGAGTTCAAGGCCAGCCTGGACTTCAGAACGAGACTCTGTATCCAAAAAAAAAAGAAGCCAGAACCAGGTAACAAAGCACCAGATAGGATGTAGAAGCCTAGTAAATCATGGGAGAGCTGGGCCAACTGAAGCTGCAGTTGGAGAATGCAGAATAACTTACAGTGGAGTTTCTTAATAACTGAGCCACAAGACCTCGGTGAGACTCAATCCCAAGTAGCCCAGTAAGACTTGCTGGTGATGGCATGTGCAGAGGATGGCACAGTGAGCAGTGACTCCGTTCCGAGCAGGGCAGGCAGAGAACTTCGTGATGCACTAAAGATCACCTTTCCACTAAAAGAAAAAGGGGAGAATCCAGGACGACAGAATGATCGTCATGTATTTCTAAGTCAAAGATTTGGTGAACTTTTTTTTTCCTCTTCTTGAACACTACTGGAGAGGCTAATAAAGCAAGGTAGGGAGGGTGACAAGGGAGGGAAAGAATTAGGTAAAATCAGTGATGAGATTCCTCATGGACTTCCAGCTCTCTCATGCAGCACTCGTGGATTCTGAATCAGATTATGGATGATGGTGGGAAGATCAACTTTGATGCTAAAGAGATTCACAGACTGTGTTAAACTGGAAAATTATAGTCAAGAGTTTGCACCTGGCCAGCTCTCTTGACATTCCTATAAAGAGGCAGGCTTAATCACCTGCAGTTAGGTGGAGCTTATTCTGCCAGGGAAAATGCAGTTGCTGGGAGAATGAATTTGGACATTAGGTCTCCAAAAAGGTTTTCACAACTCTTGTTATCAGAGGTAACTAAATTGCTTCCTTGGAAAACTGGATACATATGGGGAATGCAACTGACGGCGGCTTATGTCCCTTATAAACAAGAAAATATTCCCCAACGTTGTCCTACCTTGCTTCTTGAGGCTAAGAAGGTAACCTGGGACCAGGGCTGGAGCAGATAACTTCTGCTCCAAAGGGCACCACATCTGAAATGGGGAACTGGAAGAGGGATCCAAAACTCAAAGCAGATAGTTGTGAGTTGAGTTTAAAAAAAAAAAAAAAAAAAGACCAAATGAGAAATGCAAGGATCAGCAGGCTGAAAGCAGCTCTGAAATATAATCCAAGATGGGCATGGTGGCATACACCTATAATCCCAACACTCTGAGGCTGACGCAGGAGGATCACTGAGTTCAAGGCCAGCCTGGACTACAGAATGAGACTCTGTCTCAAAAAAAAAAAAAAAAAAAAAAGCCACAACCAGATAACAAAGCACCAGAGAATCAGAAAAACAATAGAAAACTAGTGGAAAATAAATTCAGAGGTATCTGAAAGAGCCTAGCACAAGAGTCTGGGGAGTGTTAGATGGCTTAGCTCTAAGACTACAAAGAGCTCAAGAGGCCTGAGCAACAAGACATAGGCCAGGATAAAACTTGGGTCAGCAATAAAATGGGTTTAGCAGGCGGGCACATAAGGAGTAGAAAGAACTCTCCTAGGACTTCACGTGCTAGCTTTGGGTTTAGTGATTCTGAGCAGCTGTCATGAAAGATGGATAAGCATTAGGACAGTAATTTTACTTCCCCCAAATCAGATACATCACTCAATATTTTGGGGAAAGTCTTGTACAGAGGCTATGGATTCGAATGGTAGCTTACCCTGTTTTGGACATAATTTAAGGAGATAAATTATTTTCTTAACAGCCACTTGGGACAGTGTGAACTCACATGTCCAAGTGTTGTTGTGTCCAAACCCTATCTGGATCAAATATGCTTCTGGTACTCACTTTGATTCATCTTGTCCTACATCATGGCCAGGGTCACTCCAGCCCTACTTACAGGACTACAGTAAAATCCAGAAGTTAGTTCTTTCAGGACTCCTAAAATAGGTTGAAGATAATGCCTACAGGTATTGTAAGATCCTGGCCAGGCCCACGGGCATATAATTGTGCAACTGTTACTCCACAATTCGAGCAAGGATTTATAAATTGAGCAACATAGCTGCCAACAGCAAACAGTGGAAGGGTTGTTACTGAAATGCTGTGTCCCTGGTAACAAGCCTTTTTGGGGGAATGTAGGATTTCTTTTAATGTAGGAAGAATTGGTGGCCCTGAAATGGAACGTCTAAGAATTGTGAAGCAGATGAAAGTCTATGGACTGGGGCTGGTGAGATGGCGCAGTGGTCTAAAGCACCTACTTAGAACAAGCTAAGCTAAACAAAGCACAGGGACCGCGGTTCGACCCCCAGCACCACATGCCAGCCAGCCCCGCCCCCTGGTGGGCTGAGCTGGCCACACACACACACAAAATAAATAAATAAATAAATAAATAAAAAAGAAAGTCTGTGGACTGATTTTTAATTTAAGTATTTTCTTATGTAGTATTTTTTCTTTATGAGACAAAGTCTAGCTTTCATGGTACCTAAAAACAGGTGTTAGGAAAACTTCTAATTTTCCGAAAGTGGTACAGATGGTGAAAGAACATAATTAAAAGTAAACCGTATGAGGGCCGGCGGTATAGCTCAGCCGACTAAGCGCTTGCTTAAGTAAGCGCAGGGGCCAGGGTTCAATACCTGGCACCGCCTGCTGCGCTGGCCTGCCTTCCGGTGCACTGAGCCAGCGATGGAGTCCGGGTGCGGTGGCGCATGCCTGTAATCCCAGCACTTGGGAGGCAGAAATCAGGAGGATCGCTACTGATGTGGGCTATGTAGTGAGACCCTGAGCAAAAAAAAAAAAAAAAAAAAGTAAACTGTATGGAACAAATGAATACCGGGCCTTTACTACTAACCAATATAGTTTACTTCCTTACTCATTAAGTAAAGGGAACCAGGTATGGTGGCACACACCTGTAATCCCAGAACTCTGGAGGCTGAGGCAGGAGGATTGCCATAAATTCAAGGCCAGGCTAAACTACATAGTGAGACCCTGCCTCAAAAAATAAAACAAGGGGGGGGGCGCGGGAGATGACTAGGAGCAGGGGAGATGCTTCAGTAGAATAAGCGCTTGCCTAGTGCAAGGGCCTGAGTTTGATCCCTGGTTCTGCCAAAAATAAATAAATAAAACAAAGGGTTAGGGAGACAGCTCAGGAGCACAGCATCTCCTTGGCAAGCGCAAGCTCCTGAGTCCAATTTCTGATACCAAAACAAAACAACCCTAAAATAAATAAATAAATAAATAAATGCAACTGTTTATGTGTCAAAATCTTTGGGTAAAATAGAGCTAGGCTGGGGTAGTGGCACATACCTATAATTCCAACACTCAAGGAGGCTGAGGCAGGAAGATTGCTGTGTCCAAGGCTACAAAGTCTGTTCCAGACAAGCCTGAATTACACAGTGAGACTGTCTCAAAACAAACACACACACTGGCCAGTGCTGTGAAATACTGTTACCTCCTTCCTTCCCGATTTCTATCAGGTACGCTGAGATATTTCTAGTCTATATGGTATTATTTGGAAGCCAGTCACTTGGGCAAAGTTCCATTCCACAAATTCTAATAGAAGCAGGAAGAGAAGAGACAGTTTGAATATGTAAAGACTGCTTTATGGAGTCTGATGGGACAATTAGATGATCAAATAAGTGATTACAAACCTACTCACAGACTCAGGGGAAGCAATTTATAAAATATTGGCAGCACAGAGGAGAGGACACAAATGATCCCAAATTGTTCGTCTTTTGTAGCATCACTATCTTCCCCTTTAGACTTTGCCATTTTAGCCAATAGTGTCATCATTTTCTACTGACACAGGTTTCGAGCTTCATGCCATTTCACCTGTCTGGGAAGCCTTCCTGATCTTGTAGTTCTGTCCCACCCTTCCTCATGGATGCACTCAACAACCACTTCCTGCAGGAAGTCCATCTGCCTTTGATGATCTCACCAACATACAGAAGTGTTCTAAAAACTGAAGGTGCTCAAAGCACACTCACACTATGACAGGACAAGTGTCAGTTACTAAAAACCCGCTGCCATGTGGGAATTGGTACACAGACTGCAAACTTCCTTAATTTAGGGCCTGAAGTCACCTGGTCTTTCTCCCCACACAATACAGTCTTGGCCTGGGGTTCCTGTTTTATCCTTTCCTAGGTTAGAACCTCCTTTTCCAGCAGAGGGATCACCCAAAAGAGTGGGGATCTAAAGGACAGGACTAGAACGGAGCAATTCAGCTCTGTGTGTGTTGCAGGGGGGGGGGGGTAGGATCTTTGACAAGATCAGCACCAGAGCCCAGCCCAAGCTCTGAGGGGCTCTTCCAATCATTCCTGCCAAGTCACCCGAGGCCCAACACTGCTTGATATGTCAGTACACCACTGCCTTTTGTACCATACCTCGGGCCCTGAATGTAAAGCAGTCTGAAACTGTAGGCTTTCTTTTGGAGTCCTTTTCAAAGAGCATGGCTCCCTGGGCACAGACATACAGATGATGATCCCTTGGGGCAGACTAAAAAAACAGGACAGCCATAACAAGCTGAGATGTGGGCAATGAGGAAATACATATGTGTTGATCAAGAACATGATGATCTCTAGAAATCAAGAACAAGCAAATAACAAAAGTCAACAGTCAAAAGCACTTTAAAGTGGTGGAGAACAGGAAGAAAGATGGCTCCATAGCCCTCAATAGAATAAATAGGAGGGCTATGACAAGCAGAGATAAGTGGTAGACTGGAATCCAGTGAACAGCAAATCAAGCCGTCTAACCATAACGTAGCTTCCTGGCTCGGTCTAAGGTATCTCAGGTTCTTTTTACCCAGGGAGTAAACCAATCCTGAGCCACCCGTGTGCAAAGGCTTGCTGAAGATGAGGCCGGCAGAAGCTGGCTAGCAGGGCAGTAGATTTGGGGATGGGCTACTGGCTGAGGCATTTCCACGCCACGTTCTCGCTGCAGATAACTCCATGTTTCAGAACTTGTTGCCTTCTTCCTCACCAATGAGCCACTTTTCCTAGTTTTCTTTGAAAGGTCAGACTGAAAGTTAAATTTTCCAGATTTAGAGTCACCCATCAAAATACCTGATACAACTTTGGCAGAAACCTTCCTCATGTTCAAGTTTTCTTTCAGAGTAAGTCTAACAGTTTCTTTATCTAAATGTAACTCTTCAGCCATCATCCTCACAGTTAACTGCCTGTTTGAACAAACCAAATTCTTGACCTTCTGGATATTTTCATGTGTCCTGTGGGTGACTGGGCGACCACTTCGTGCATCATCTCGAACATCTTCTCGTCCTTCTTTAAATCTTTTGTGCCAGTCAAAAACTCGAGCCCTTGACATGACTTCATCCCTGTAGGCTTCTTTTAAAAGGTGGTGGGTCTCACTTGCTGACTTGTTCAGTTTTACGCAAAATTTTATGCTAATCCTTTGTTCTAAATAGCGATCACTCATTTTGTCATTAACACCGGAACATTAACAGGTCACAATTATGAGGGGAAGACCGAGGGACCAATCTCTATAGGGCTGTACACCTACTCATGTCATTCTTGGTCCTTTGGAAGCTTTGCCAGGGAACAATGCTTTTCTGAGTTTCCTCCTGTTAGCATCTAGTCGAGGTCGGTGAGGTTCAATCTGAGAAGCTAATGGGGCTAAAGCGTTCAGAGCTGGGGAATAATAAATCCCCTACAATCCACGTCTGTGTCCAGCCAGTGCACACAGCTCTGCCACTAAGTTTGCAAATCAGGTAGCAAGACAGTACAAATTCCGCGGCGCATAGGAGTTTATGACGATTACTGCAATACAATAAAACAAGGAGAGCTGCAACGGTGACGTGAAACCTGCACGTTTGCCCCCGATCTGCTGAACCCGCGCTCGCCAGACCTACCGGAGCAGCCCGGCACTCGCCTGCTCCAGTCCCGGGAGATTGGGCCGCATGCGCAAAGCCCTCCTCGCGAGTTACGTGCGCGCAGGCGCACTGCGTCCGCCGGCGCCAAGTCCCGCCTCCGCCTCGCCACACCCCGCAGGCCCTCTTCAGTGCGCTTGCCCGCTCGCTTAAAAGTCGGTGGAAAGGAGGGCGGGGAGGAAAGCTGAGGGAAGAGAGGGCACCCCCGGGCGCCAGGGTGCATTGTGGGAAGGAGGCGGCAGCGTCCCGGGCGGGCGGGAGGTGCACCAGCGGCGGCGGCGGCGGTAAATCCTCCCGGCCGCTCACAGCACTGTGGAGCCGCGTCCCCAGGCCGGCCTCGGACCGCGCGCCCCTCCTG